TCAGTATGTATTCCCCCGAGTATCTATACTGGTGGCAAGTAAAACAGCCATGGGAAGGTCCAGCACACTAGATCGGTGTATGGAGACTATGTTGTCATGTTGGAATAGCGACTAATTCAGGACAGCTATCGTCTAAATATTTCTAAAGACCAAAAACTATGTAGCCAATTTAAGCCACGTGGGACTTAATTGTAATTATTTATATGACGCTAATCTGCATGCTTAATCCTTATCGCTACTGCATTGTACATTGGCTTGTCAGTCACCCTGTACTCCTCCGTCACTTTCACTCATTACTGTATATGACATTTATAGACTTAATTGGTCATCCCCATTGGCCATGTCTGCCATCTCATCAACTGGTCAAGGAAGTGCTATTGTTTCTTTACCTGCCCATTGTTAACTCTTCGTCTGTCCATTGTTGTCCATAAGTATATATATGTTCATACCTATATTGTCATCAGGCCGGTATTCCGACTGTCTGTGTAGGGACGACCGCGATCTGGATAATGCCGCTCGTAGGAAATGCCCTGAGGTTGAGCTGGAACTCCGCTCACCCCATTTATGTCTGAGCCGGCAGCCCTGTCTTGTGTATATGTTTATACCATGTATTGTATAGCCAACTAAAGAAGTTTGGACTCCACTATCCCTTCGTCTTTGTCAACGTATTGCTAGTCTGAATTATGAGCTAGTTCCCGTTGAAACATATATACGCATTGACAATGTGAAGACGTGAAACTCACGACGGAGCTTAGCTTAGCGTAGGAACAGGGGGTGGGGGGGATTAGTCCTCCACTTTTTTCAAGACGAAACCATATCTACCTTAACCAGGGATACTCTACAACAGGGATAGGTCACTCGCTTGCTTTCTTTACCATTTGTACTAATTAACGTGTGCCTCGTCATGCTCCAACGCACACAGTGACTTGGTTCGGTCCCAGCGCAACTTCGGCTGCGTTTAACAGTACTTCAGCCAGTGTATTGTATAGGTCGTAATTTTACAATGAATGAATTAAGAGCAAGAATTTCATGTGAATGAATGAAAGAAATTAAGAAAAAGAACAAAAGAAAAAGAACATATGTGAATGAATGAAAGAATAAATGATACACCACGGCCATCCCTCCCAAAACATGTTAAAGAACGCAAAACTATCGGTAGAACACATGTTAACATCAGCTGTCCTTTTTCAAAAAAAATTACTTTGAGACATTTTTTTACATTAGTAACTAATTCAGATATCTTATTGCATTTGTGGAATGACATGGGCATTGACAGAATGTTAACTGACACTGTCACAGACCCCTCAAGAACAGAAAGTTTAGAACTATCACAAAGCCTTGCAAACACCTTTCCAGTTTTTGTCAAATACTAAGATCAACAAGAAAGAAAGTTTTAGAACTATAACACTCAAGCATCACAAGCACCAATGGCGTATCAGAACAGATCGGCGATATGTCATATTTTTCACACACCTCAAATACACACTAACAAAAAAAAAATTAAAACTATCACTATTACTTGCAAAAAACTTTCACCTGATGGTATATTCCCCACATAAAAATTAAAGGTGTATGTGAAAGATGTTTTAGAACAATAACTAGAAACACTCAAACAACGCCCTGTTGTATTTCAATGGCAGATCGGCGATATGTCATATTTTTTACACACCTCAAATACACACTAACAATTTTTTTTAAATTATAAAACTATTACTATTACTTGCAAACACCTTTCACCTGATGGTATATTCCCCTCAAATAAATTGAAGGTGTATGAGAAAGATGTTTTTGAACACTAACTAGAAACACTCAAACAACGCCCTGTAGTATTTCAATGGCAGATCGGCGATATGTCATATTTTTCACACACCTCAAATACACCCTAACAAAATTTTTTTAGTTATAAAAATATCACTATTACTTGCAAACACCTTTTAACTAAAGGTATATTTCCCTTTTAAAAATTAAACGAATATGTGAAAGAAGTTTTTTAGCGATATAATTTAGTCTTTCTTCGCTGTGTACTGAGAATTGAAGCCAGTGAGCTACAACATGCCCACTTGAAACTTTACTACAAAGCTACTGTACTTATACTGACACTAATAACAAGTATTTGACTTAAAATGAAGTGACAGAATAGGTAACTTATCTTCTACATGTAGGTTTTCAGTTGTCACAACACTCAGTGTATGTAATCAGCTGTTGAAAATAAACCGGGCTCAATCTTAAAAACTACGCTGCCGCCATATTGGCTGCACTGGTCACGTGACGAGCCGAGGCATAGCTTAGGAGCTTTCCGAGGAAACCCCTCCTATAGAGTCTCCCTGACTCGCATCACGTACAGTCCGTTTGAGACAAAATGATACCGATGAATTGCAATCTAACACAAAATCAAATAAACAGAGAAGGTTGAAACCAACGCGGAGTACAATAAAAACAACAGACCTACTCTAGAAAGATATTGCATAATTTTTGTCACAAAATTAAAAAATTTGTTTAAGAAACTGTCATCATTTATTTGTGCGTTTTCCAAGTTTGTTACAAGGGCGCATTGACAACTAAAGGAACAGCGCGAAAAGCGAGATGCACGTGCATTAGTGACATGTGATTACTGCTGATTGACAAAGTGAGAGAAAATGAAAGTCTGAAATTTACAATGTCTATAATTTACAATGTCTATAATTTCTTCAAGGATGAAAATGACAGGGGGTGACCCAATTATGCAATTACTAAGTACATAGACGTTTCGAATGAGTGAGCGAGGTAATTTAACGTCACATCAGCTTTATTTCAGCTATACAGCGGCGAGAACAAGGATTTCACACAAATAATAATATACAAAGTAGCTAATTATAAACACAAACTCGAAAGAAGTTTTCTATAAACCTATTTCGACAGTTGCGGGTTTGGAGAACGTGTTGAAATATAGAACCGTGGACAAGTCGATATACTGTTCTCCTGTTCGAGTTTCTATTCAACTTCTTATCAAATTATGTTAACAAGCGTAAAGTCTTATGTACAAATAATAGGGTGTCACAACATTATACATATTCTGTTCTGAGCCTAAAAAGATAATAAAAAAATGTTTCGAAATAGTTTTCACTTCATACCGCCGCCATGTGGCATATAACCCAATGGCCACCCAATGAAGATAATGTTAGCACTGGTGATCAGCAAGCCATGGTTATAGGTAGGAGGCGACCAACGGGATCGGATGGTCAGACTCGCTGACCTGATTGATAAATGACATCATATAATATACTACCCATCAAAAGTTTAGACTCACTAGTGTAAATGTAGACACTTACTTCTGTTCTAAACTAGATTTTTCAAAATATTCCATTCTGTTTAAAGGTACTGTTTATAGATGAACTGATGTATTGTAAAACAAATTCGTAACGTTGAACAAATTATTGTCATGAGTTCAGTTAATGACGGAAATCAGTGAAAATTGGCAAATTCTTACAAAACTTTACACCAAAACGCAGCTGTTCACATACACGATATTTGCATTTGCTCTTTACCAATTTCATGCATGATCCTAGTGCAATTCATCTGCATAAAGTTGCAGTTGGTTCCCCCAAGGTCGTGGAGAAATTCATCTTCAATGTAACCACATGTATATACATAACATATAGTGAGTGCTTTAAGTGAGTCTAAACTTTTGATGGGTAGTATATAAACTGCTCTTGATGTAAGTCACATGATTTTCTTTTCCAGATTCAGGTGTTCCCTCTGTCAAATATCTGAATTATTGCTGTATTACTGAACAAACAAGCAAACGCCATTACATAACCCAATATCATGCGATGTGGATTCGACACGTGATTTCCAACAAAAATATATGTTAATCTCACGAATGTCTACGAAAACGTTCTGTAAGTTAACTGGGTCGATGACACTACACTCAGGAATAATGGACTCCGTCCTTACAATATAACGGAGGGTTTATATGTATTATGACGTCATATAGATGTATGTATTGCTGCTGCCTAGCAGTTAGGTAGCTGAAGGTGGCCGTTGAAACAACTGACTTGGTGCTGGTCCTATGGGCCAACACATCGTATATAAACTGTGCACGTATATATATGTACATAATCCTGCACTAGAAGTAGGTCAGTGGATTCTGATTTTAATGACGAGTACATCACGTGGTTCTGAAAACATTGAAAGTGTCAATGGCTGCTCTTCTCGCCTACAGCTTGGTGTAGGTTTTCAGCGTAATAATTGTATATCTGCCGAAATGGCGCCCCCTTCTGTAGATTCGTGCACAAAGCCATGCACGAACTTCACTTATGACGTGACTGTGGAATCAGGCGTCCTACACTTGTACATATGCAGATACCACAGTGTGGCATTAACGCTGCAGTCAGCTAGATACAGACATGTCATGTGATAAATGAGTCGGAACCAGATAATATAACAGCCACAACATGACTTGTTATCCAACCCCGACCAGTATATAGTGAGTGAGTGAGTTTAACACCGCACTGAACACTATTTCAGATATATCCCAGCTTCTCAGCTCAATGAGGAAAGTATTAAACGTTTGGTGGAGTTTCCAACCGTAGTTTCTGTATAAGATAATCGAGCACCACGTCATTTTTTTGAAATTTTACTCTTTAATCTGTATTTGGGAGCTAAACATTGTTACAGCAGTGCAATTGGTTATGATTTCCCATCTGTACTGGGCCCAGGACGAACTATATGGATGAACAACTTTGTTGTTCGGATTCTAGTATCGTTGTCAAGCAAGTATATTATAAAATTTGTCCTTATCTGATTCACCAACTTCTAAACATGCCACTCAAAGAAGTTGTACTGGGCTGTTTTACACTAGTATATATTGCTGGCATATTTTAATAGAACTTTTTTTTGTGTGTAAACAATTAACCATGGTTCCAAAACCTTTCGTGCGTGTGCGGTTACTCTTCACAGAGGAAAGCACATAACAAGGCCAGTTTCTTAACCTCACTCCAGTTATTTCCCTTTACTCGGAAAGATTAGGTCGCGTCTCGATATAGTCTTACTCGAGCTGTACTGTGTTTACATCAGGCCAGTCGACACTGACGTTTTCAAAATGAACGGAGATGAAGGCAACCCCGTACTTCTGTACGCGCATCCTTCCATGAACAGGCTGGCGACACAGATCGTTGAGAGATGTTCGGGAGACATGCCAGAATCACAGAAGAAAAGACTGGTTGGTGCCAGGTGGAAATCATCTGTTATTGGCGTGATCATCAAATCTACTTTCCGTTCAGACACGGAATTTAAAAGCAACATTCATATTGCACTAAGAATATTTTGCAGATAAATGTAAGATCATGATATACTGAAGCGTGTCATAAAATGACAGAATACATGTATTGAAAAATATCTTGACTGGAGAAATTCGAAAATCGATTCAGTGTGCAGCCATTACTAGTGTGTTGCGCAATATGCTATGTTGAGTTACCTCCCATTGAGAGTTGTGCCCTACCTGAACATGTATTACAAGCTGGTTCTTGGACCTCAAAGCGCGCCGTCTGCGTGTGAATATTGTAATATGCATGGTCCGGGCCGTGTTTTTAGGCATGTCTGATAAAGCTTTGTTCCTATCGCTAGTGACGCTAGACTAACCTGTAGTCACTTAACATATTTTACGGAAATACAATTCTTATTTTATGTTAATAGAATGTTGTAAATGGAGAAATGGTTCTTAAAATAAATTAATAAAATATAATGAAAATTAGCCTTGAGACATTCTTCTAGTTTTGCCAATAATATATAGACTTGCATGGGCTGTCTTGGAAATATTTGTTTCAGGATTTGTATGACGCATACAGCATGTGACAGCTTGGTCATCACATGGCATCATGTTGTAGAGTGGTTCACAAACAGGCTCTCTGTGAGAAGCTTGTTGCTCCATGTGTACATGTATACACTTGTAAATACATGTAGTCATGGTCCATCAGGCCAAAATAAGTAAGATTTGTGTTTTATTATTTCAGACTATCCTAGCTATAATAGGATTGGGAGGGGACTTCTTTGGGGTTTTTTTTTGGGGGGTGATGATGATTTTTATGGAGAAGCATGTACAATGTGAATGACCCCCCGTAAAATTTATGTACAAAATAAGTGACCCCCTGCATGTCATGTACAAAATCAATGACCCCCTCTTCCCCTTCCCATAATTTCTTAGCATAATTTTAAACATATTTTTATGTACAAAATTGATGACCCTCCCTAGTACGTGTTTACAAAGTTGATGCCCCCCCCCCAGCTTCCCAGAACAAAATGGGTGACCCCCCCTCATCATCACCCTCCCTAGCCACAATTTATGAACGGTCCCTTATCACAAATTACTATAAGCTTGTAGTGGTGTAACTCAAGGAAAATAAAACAAACAAGATAAAGGGTTACAGAGTGTAAGGAAAGATGACTAGCCTGTCTACAGGACTGGCAGGGAAGTCCTGCCAAAATCTAGCTTGACCCTTGATAAATATTTGTCCTAAATTTGACCCGAAGAAAGATCTTTTTTAACCCGTCCTCAGAGTGTTCTCTATTCATGTCCATGATGTTTAATTCATGTAGCATTAACATTTTCAAAAATATTTAGGAGGACTTTTTACATTTTGGCAGCACACAGGCTATAATAACCATGTTGTCTGTAATTGTAAGTTTTTAGAGACAATTTTATGAGAAGAACAGCAATATATTTGGTAACTTTTGCATATCAACAGGGGCATAGCTCACATTTTAAACTCCATGTCAGTCTCACCATGAAGACCAACATACTCCATGTAATGTTTCTATCTCACCATGAAGACCAACATACTGTAATGTTTCAGTCTCACCATGAAGACCAACATACTGTAATGTTTCAGTCTCACCACTGAGACGTCTGTTTATCCTGTTGATAAAAGTAAATTTGAACCCAACACAGTCACTCATGTTTGGGTTAGAGCAAGACCAGAGATGCCAGCCCCAAAGTGTTGCAAATAGTAGTTTCAAGGATCATAATTGGTAGTTGGACCATAAAATTAGTAGTCAACTAAATACTTAAAACCATGATGGATTCTGAGAAAGAAAATATGACACTAAGCAAGAGTGAAGCTTTAATTTCACATACCTCAAACAGCTGATTTCCATATTATAAGCATTATATTTCTTCTTGTGGTATATGTTTTTTTGTGAAAATGTATTTAATCGATGAAAATACAGTCGAGCACCGTTGTCTCGATATTCATGGGACCAAGAAAAAATATAGTTATATCCGAACTTCGAGACATCCAACCAGGGCATATCATCACATATCTCTATGAAAGAAAACAAAACGCTTCTCAGTATGTTTTGATTCGAAACTATAATCCGTTATCAGTAGTGTTTAGTTGTAACAGTGAGTATTTCCTTATTAAATCCTTCTTAATTACTCCTAATTAAATAACAAACAAGTGACACCTTCACCTCAATTAGCCCTAATTAGTTTACACTACCGCATCCCTTTTGTTCATGCCGCACCGTGTGTAAACAACCTCAGTTCAGAGGGATACTTGCCCATGAAAGGTAGGTGAATATTGAGTTTCTTTGCAAATATCGAGTTAAAAGGGTAATTTTGCTTGTTGGGACCATGAAATATTATTGAGATATCCGAAATGTCGAGACATCCGTATCTAGTTAATAGAGCTTGAATAATGATAAATTATGAAGGATTTTGCCGGGACCGAGATATTATATCGAGACAACTGAGATATCGAGTTATCAGAGTTCGACACAACGGTGCTCGACTGTATATGTTTTTGTCTATATAGCCAAATTTTAATGAATCTTCTTCAAATTCCGTAGAATTTCTAGTGCAATCGTATTGGCGTAGATGAGGCTAAAATTTGTAGTGACTACGATAGAATCGTAGAGGTTGGCATCTCTGCATGACACTTACAGTACACTGTCATGTTTTTAGAGAGCTGAGCGGTCCATCTCTGTATCCAGCCAGCGGAATGTCGAGTATAAACAGACGATCCAGTGGGGAAAGTTCAATGATGGCTTCCCGAACCTGTTCATCCAGGAAGTGAAGGAGATGGCTGGGAAAGATGGTACTGTCATGTAGAAGTTACTCAACTTTTGATGGACATGTCAGGACTGACTTCTGTTTATTTTTAGCATTTAGTACAGGTGTACTGTGCAGTGTTCACATCAGGATGCAGGCTTCCAGTAGCAAGTTATTTATTGTCAGGTGTTTCCAGCTGTGGAAATATGGCAGCGTCCTCTATTGTAGGGACGTATCATGCTGCTTGGTTGGAAAGCAGTTGTGTTTAAGTTTCTGATATTTTTTTATGCTTTTGGGGTTGGGAGTGGTCTGGGGACTTCTAGAAGGCCATGAAGTAGTCTCTCAAAGCGTGAAACATTCTGGAGGATTTAAGACTATGTAAGGGATTGATGGGGTAGGAGTGCTCATACCTCTACAGCGTTTTACATGACATGTGATTCCTGCGTAATTCCTGCCGTGTGATTTGATGCAACAATTTTGTAAAAGACTCTCAAAATATTATAATATGAGTCAAGCTTGACGCAAGTCATATGGGTGACCTCAGAATTGTGTTAAATAAGATCGACTTGATAGACAAACAATGATAGATTTTGGTGAGAGTTTTACTTTTTGAGAGCTGTCAGATTGTTCCAGGGAACTAAGAGGAGACAGTAATCCTGCTTGTTTGAACTGAACTATGCTGTAGTTGCATTTGGTGGTGTGACATACACAGTTACATACTGAGAATAATTAACAATTGACTCACAAATATTGAAAATGACTACCCCAAAAAATACTCTGAGTCACCATGACTCCCATTTTTCAACGTCTGTGTGTAAAACCCTGTCTCTTTCATCTCTCTTTACATCAACACCAACAGTTATGTGAAGATCAAATTCTCAATCTGGATATCCAGCTTTGGCCTATTTTGGAAACTTGACCACTACTGAATATTTGTACACTGATTTGATTGGGTGTGTAATGGTAGTATCACCACTATTAATGTATTTGCTTCCATTAATCTTTGTACTAACACTCTATTGTTTGCTGCCGTTTATTTACTTTGCAGTAATTTGTGGTGAAGTGTATACATAGTTTGTTGTATAATGCAGTTGTTGATTATGTAACATTCTTTTGCATTCAGATGTCTTCATAACTTACAGCTTTAGGTTGGAAATCAACACTTAATAGTATTTGCATTTACATATAGATTTTGATACATCTGTCTGTGGGAGAGATTTTGACATACAGGGGTGGAAATAACCCATTGCCCAACGTCCGAGTCCAGTGTTTTTTTCTGTCGGGCAAGCAAATTTGTATATCACACTGTACCGGTGTCCAGTTGACTTTCCAATGTTATTTATGTTGTTTATTTATACAATCAGCAAGAAAACGGTCGGTATACTGGAAAAAATATCAGGGCAAGTGACTTTACATGTGCCACTATACCGGAGTACACTATCTATTTTAAAGTTATTTCCATCCCTGACATATCTGTCTGTGTGAGAGATTGTGACATATCTGTCTGTGTGAGATTTTGACACATCTGTCTGTGTGAGATTTTGACATATCTGTCTGTGTGAGATTTTGACACATCTGTCTGTTTGAGATTTTGACACATCTGTCTGTGAGAGATTTTGACATATGTCTGTGTGAGATTTTGACATATCTGTCTGTGTGAGAGATTTTGACACATCTGTCTGTGTGAGATTTTTACATATCTGTCTGTGTGAGATTTTTACACATCTGTCTGTGAGAGATTTTGACAGATCTGTCAGATTTTGACATATCTGTCTGTGTGAGATTTTGACACGTCTGTGAGAGATTTTGACATATCTGTCAGATTTCAACATATCTGTCTGTGAGAGATTTTGACATATCTGTCTGTGAGATTTTGACACATGTGTCTGTGTGAGAGATGTTGACATATCTGTCTGTGTGAGATTTTGACACATCTGTCTGTGTGAGAGATTTTGTCACATCTGTCTGTGTGAGAGATTTTGACACATCTGTCTGTGTGAGAGATTTTGACACATCTGTCTGTGTGAGATTTTGACATATCTGTCTGTGAGAGATTTTGACATATGTCTGTGTGAGATTTTGACATCTGTCTGTGTGAGATTGTGACACATCTGTCTGTGTGAGAGATTTTGACATCTGTCTGTGTGAGATTTTGACACATCTGTCTGTGTGAGAGACTTTGACATCTGTCTGTGTGAGATTTTGACACATCTGTCTGTGTAAGAGATTTTTTATACTTATGTCTGTGTGAGATTTTGACACATCTGTCTGTATTTGATAAGATCTTGTTATATACTTCATCACACCATCAATTTTCTATCCCTCAACTACTGACATTTTTTCAGTGATATTTCTGGGAAGTTTTCACTCTCCAGAAGTCATATTCGAGCAACTTTCTATCCTGTATGCTTTCCCAAGGTAGGTGTACACTGAGACATAGGAGTGATTAGTGGTGCTGTGTGCTCTTGTGCGAAAACACCATCTACTTGTTTAGGATATTTGCTTGTATTCTGGTGAACACTCTAAGATTTAGAAATATTGCTCTTAAATAAACTAACTTTTGAAACTGTAGGAAAACCTATGTAGGAAAATATTGCCAAATGATTTGCAGCCTTTTATGTTTTATATACTTTTTTTGTACAAGGCTTACGGTAAGTAGTTCCTATGAATGAGGCTTACAGTAAGTAGTTCCTATGAATGAGGCTTACAGTAAGTAGTTCCTATGAATGAGGCTTACAGTAAGGAGTTCCTATGAATGAGGCTTACAGTAAGTAGTTCCTATGAATGAGGCTTACAGTAAGTAGTTCCTATGAATGAGGCTTACAGTAAGTAGTTCCTATGAATGAGGCTTACAGTAAGTAGTTCCTATGAATGAGGCTTACAGTAAGTAGTTCCTATGAATGAGGCTTACAGTAAGTAGTTCCTATGAATGAGGTTTACAGTAAGGAGTTCCTATGAATGAGGCTTACAGTAAGTAGTTCCTATGAATGAGGCTTACAGTAAGTAGTTCCTATGAATGAGGCTTACAGTAAGTAGTTCCTATGAATGAGGCTTACAGTAAGGAGTTCCTATGAATGAGGCTTACAGTAAGTAGTTCCTATGAATGAGGCTTACAGTAAGGCGTTCCTATGAATGAGGCTTACAGTAAGTAGTTCCTATGAATGATGCTTACAGTAAGGAGTTCCTATATGTTGAGTCCCATCTGGGACTCGAACCCACACTCTCAGAGTCAGGTGCCAGCACACAATGTCAGCCTCCTAACCTGCTCAGCCACCGCCATTTCCACAAAAATGGAAGTCGGACAACTGGTAGTCTGGACCACAGAGTTTGTGTACCCCTCTGATAAGTTTAAATTGGCACGGCTCCCACAGCCAAAAGCTATGAATACACAATGCCATTTAAAAAGTGGTCAAAAGTAACATATGTTATATTTGGGATTACACTTTCTTAGTAAAGTACAGATTCTAGTACCTGACTCTCAGGGTGTGGGTTCGAGTCCCAGATAGGACTCAACCCATCAATAGTACTAAAATCTGTACTTTACTAAGAAAGTGTAATCCCAAATATAACATGTGTTACATTTGACTACTTTCTAGATGGCATTGTGTATTCATTACTATGAGTAGTTAATATGTATGAGACATACTATAAGTACTTCCTATGTACCCGTGAAGATCCGGGTTAGAATTGATTTTCAGTAACCCATGCTTTTCGTAAGAGGCGACTAACAGGATCAGGTGGTCTGGCTCACTGACTTGGTTGGCATGTGTCATTGTATCCCAAATGCGTAGATCGATGTTCATGCTGTTGATCACTGGATTGTTTGGTCCAGACTCGATTATTTACAGACCACCTCAACATAGCTGGACTATTGCTGTGTGCGGCTTTTAACTAAACTCAACTATCAGTATTTCCTATGTATGAGGCTTACTATAAGTACTTCATTCAGCAATTATACACTGGTTTGATGGACAAAAATTACATTGGTATGACATACTGTAATTATACCTTGGCATGACATACAGTAATTATACACTGTATGACAAACAGTAATTATACACTGGTATGTCATGCAGTAATTAAACATTGTATGACATACAGTAATTATGCACGTGTATGACATACAGTAATTGTACACTGGTATGTTATTCAGTGATTATACACTGGTTTGACATAGAGTAATTATACACTGTTATGGCTTACTGTAATTATACACTGTTATGACATTCAGTAATTATACATTGTATGACATACAGTAATTGTACACTGGTATGTCATGCAGTAATTAAACATTGTATGACACAGTAATTATGCACGTGTATGACATACAGTAATTGTACACTGGTATGTTATTCAGTGATTATACACTGGTTTGACATAGACATATGGCTTAGTAATTATACACTGTTATGACATTCAGTATTATACATTGACATACAGTTGTACACTGGTATTCATTCAGTGATTATACACTGGTTTGACATAGAGTAATTGTATGTATGACATACAGTAATTATTCACTGATATACAGTAATTGTTGTAATGTGAGGTATTGATATGTGACCTTCAGCATGTGCCCTTGACCTTGTTTTCCATCTTCCTTAGGTACCTGGCAAAGTCCTTTCACTTCATACTTCCCTACTTCCCTACTGGCACAATGGAGCGAGTTGATCGGGAAGGTCAGATCGCCACAGCAAAGGTGGGTTGACAAATCAGGTTACTTTGGCAAACACATAGGGTATGATTATATAGCTTTGTGAGAACCATTGCTGTTCATGTAGCGTTCAACCAATCACCCTTTAATAAAATGAATAGAGGATATTATATGGGTGCCCATGTCATACTATGTTTTACGACACAAGTAGGTAATAGTGGTATTTAGGCTAAAGTGTTGTAAACAAAGTATGATATGGGTACGAATATAATGTTCTATTTATTACCAAAGTCATCAAATTGAGGAAAATAAACCTAAATCTTCTTTCAAACATAGACTGGGTACAGGTCATCACCGCATGTTGAACACAACATCACAGAAGAAACATGACGTCATAGCATTGTACCTGGCATTTGGCATCATAAATATATATACCTATATCAATTACACATATATATAGTTGTAACATACCTGTAGCCGTATGGCATCATAAATATATATACCTATATCAATTACACATTTATATAGTTGTAACATACCTGTAGCCGTATGGCATCATAAATATATATACCTATATCAATTACACATATATATATAGTTTGTAACATACCTGTAGCCGTATGGCATCATAAATATATATACCTATATCAATTACACATTTATATAGTTGTAACATACCTGTAGCCGTATGGCATCATAAATATATATACCTATATCAATTACACATTTATATAGTTGTAACATACCTGTAGCCGTATGGCATCATAAATATATATACCTATATCAATTACACATTATATATAGTTTGTAACATACCACATTTATATAGCCATACCTGTAGCAGTATGGCATCATAAATATATATACCTATATCAATTACACATTTATATAGTTGTAACATACCTGTAGCCGTATGGCATCATAAATATATATACCTATATCAATTACACATTTATATAGTTGTAACATACCTGTAGCCGTATGGCATCATAAATATATATACCTATATCAATTACACATTTATATAGTTGTAACATACCTGTAGCCCTATATCAATTACACATTTATATAGTTGTAACATACCTGTAGCAGTATGGCATCATAAATATATATACCTATATCAATTACACATTTATATAGTTGTAACATACCTGTAGCCGTATGGCATCATAAATATATGTGTATCATGTCCAGGAGTATTTCCCCATCGCCACAGTCAACGGTTACAAAGGCCTGTACCACTTTTTCAGATTTAGACAGTATTTCCCCCCACGCTTCACAGTCAACGGTTACAAACCTGTTTCAGATTTAGACAGTATTTCCCCCCACGCTTCACAGTCAACGGTTACAAACCTGTTTCAGATTTAGACAGTATTTCCCCTCACGCTTCACAGTCAACGGTTACAAACCTGTTTCAGATTTAGGCAGTATTTCTCCTCACGCTTCACAGTCAACGGTTATAGAGCTGTTTCAGATTTAGACAGTATTTCCCCTCACGCTTCACAGTCAACGGTTACAAACCTGTTTCAGATTTAGACAGTATTTCCCCTCACGCTTCACAGTCAACGGTTATAGAGCTGTTTCAGATTTGGACAGTATTTGTCTTCACACTTCACAGTCAAGATTTAGACGGTTATAGAGCTGTTTCAGATTTGGACAGTATTTGTCACACTTTCACAGTCAACAGTTACAAACCTGTTTCAGATTTGGACAGTATTTCTCCTCACGCTTCACAGTCAACGGTTATAGTATTTTCCCTTCAGCTGTTTCAGATTTAGACAGTATTTCCCCTCACGCTTCACAGTCAACGGTTACAAAGCTGTTTCAGATTTAGACAGTATTTCTCCTCGCAGCTTCACAGTCAGCTGTTTCAGTTACATTTCCCCTCAACAGAAGAGCTGTTTTTCAGATTTAGACAGTATTTCTCACGCTTCACGCTTCACAGTCAGCGGTTACAAACCTGTTTCAGATTTAGACAGTATTTCCCTCACGCTTCACAGTCAACGGTTATAGAGCTGTTTCAGATTTGGACAGTATTTGTCTTCACGCTTCACAGTCAACGGTTATAGAGCTGTTTCAGATTTGGACAGTATTTCCCCTCACGCTTCACAGTCAACGGTTACAAACCTGTTTCAGATTTAGGCAGTATTTCTCCTCACGCTTCACAGTCAACGGTTACAAACCTGTTTCAGATTTAGACAGTATTTCTCCTCACGCTTCACAGTCAACGGTTACAAACCTGTTTCAGATTTAGACAGTATTTCCCCTCACGCTTCACAGTCAACGGTTATAGAGCTGTTTCAGATTTGGACAGTATTTGTCTTCACACTTCACAGTCAACGGTTATAGAGCTGTTTCAGATTTGGACAGTATTTGTCTTCACACTTCACAGTCAACAGTTACAAAACTGTTTCAGATTTGGACAGTATTTCTCCTCACGCTTCACAGTCAACGGTTACAAACCTGTTTCAGATTTAGACAGTATTTCCCCTCACGCTTCACAGTCAACGGTTATAGAGCTGTTTCAGATTTGGACAGTATTTGTCTTCACACTTCACAGGCAACGGTTATAGAGCTGTTTCAGATTTGGACAGTATTTCTCCTCACGCTTCACAGTCAACGGTTATAGAGCTGTTTCAGATTTGGACAGTATTTCTCCTCACACTTCACAGTCAACGGTTACGAAAATGTTTCAGATTTGGACAGTATTTCCCCTCACCCTTCACAGTCAGTGGTTACAATACTTCATAAACTGTGTTGTCGTTGAGGTAATTCCCCTTGCAATGCATTATGGGGAATCTTCATTGCTAAGCAGTTCCGCATCAGCAGGTTTCATTCAAATTTCATTATCTAAAAATAATAACTCACAATTTTGTGAGTCCTCTCTTGTTTTGAAATCCGAAATTGCATCCCATTCTTGGAAACTATCGTAAACCTTTGTGTTAAAGCAAACGTGTTTACACCAATCGACTCTTCTGAAAATCTTACTAAAGTCGAAATTGGGGAAAACAAGAGACAGAACTGTAATAGCATGGTGAAAGTCATTCGTGTAGCTCATTGTAGGGGCAGGGCTCCAGATACTTTTTTCTACATAAGGAGTACGTACTTCTTATTTTTTCAATATAGGAGTACTGGATTAACTAAGAGTACATTTTGAGTACTGAATGGAATTTAATGGCATATCAGTAATCTTATGTTTCGTTTCATATATGCACCACAACATTACTACTCTTGTGTAAACAGGTCAAGAAACAATAAAACAACACTCTTTCAGATAAATACGTCTGTAAATGATTCCAAGACCGTACAGCATTGCTGTGGTGCGTATGTGCTACGTTTTCTAAATTATTTCCTACCGTATCGTGCATATATTTTATCTGTACATACGCTGATACGGCCCTTATCTGGAGCCCTGTAGGGGCATTGTATTGTAAGGGTTTCTGCTAGTTGTGTGAGGCAAATGAGCCGGTCTGTGTTATCACGGCTTTACAAGGCAGGAGCAAGCATTAAAGTCATGTGGTGTGAGCATAATTTATGACCAGCAAACATCATAGGAATTACATTTCTGGGTGCCATTCCACTAACCGATCTTAACTAAGAACAATCTTAGCAAATTACGCCAATTTTACAATCATCTTAGCTAAAAGTATCACCCGTTCCACTAACCGATCTTAGGCCGATCGAGCAGGTCCCGATCTTACAATCCAATCTAAGGCCAGACCAATTTTGGAAATTTTAATATAAATTGTATATTTATATACTTATCCTATCTCACGATTTGCACTTCTCTCTCTTGCTTCGACGCTGAGTGGAACGAATGAGAACTTTTCCTGTAGGCCTCTCTTGTCCATACACCCGTGTTCCCCAGGCTGCTCTCTTTATATGACAGGTCCCTAGTCCCTGGCTAAGCGTGCAGCACGTTCCCCTGTCTACCCACGTGACTACCTCAGAGTGATCATTCTCTTCTTGGAGCCAATGACAGTTATACGTAACCATCGTAATCTGAGTAGAGGGGAGGCTGGGTGGGCATCCATCGCGTGAGATAGGACAAGTATATAAATATACAATTTATATTAAAATTTCCAAATTTTTAAACTTATCCTATCTCACGATTTGCACTTATCCCACGGTTGGACGGCGGGTCGCAGATTACCCTAAGTCAAAAGGCACTGACAGTATATACTGTATAGGCTAATGACAACCGTAGATAGCAATGAACAAGGGAGGCCGGATCTGACTAACATAGTACTTATACTAGTGATGGGTTCTCCTGAACCCATTGGCTTACTAGGCACCATCGCTCCCATGAAGTGGGTGCTCAGGAGCAATGTGGTGTTCAGCAGCAACCCTCGCACACGCAAGAAGCCGCGATTTATCAGAGTACCCCCTTAATTACAACTAGTAGTTGGGCCCACACCTGCTTCGAGACAGCCCCCCAGACCCCATCAGAGGGGAAAAGGAAACTGAATCGGAAACCTCACAAGTTTAACATTCAGTACCAAAACAACACCACATGACTTCCACTACTTACCACAGTTAGGTCACAACGGTGTGCTAAGGTACTTAGGAGCAAGAACACTACGAAATCCATAAGGAAATCGGGAAGGACTCACTACACTGACGTGATTGCTCCGTGGAGTAGAGGTCAGCAAGCGAGATTGTCGAACACTTCTACATCCGTAGGGAGCAACGACAAGGTAGGCCCATAACTACCAAGGTCACTACGTGCGATGGTTAGTTCGAACCCATTGACTTACTTAGCACAATTGCTCCCAGGGACCGGGACTCTCGAGCAATGTGGTGTTCAGTCACTACCTTCACGAATGTGAAAGGACGCAGCTTAGCGAGTGTAATCAGTCGCATTACCACGATTTCCAAGGTACCCCCGTAATAAAAGTCTAATGACTAGTATTGGGCCAGCCCTTGCTTCGAAACAACCCCCACAGACAACGTCCCGAGGAGGGTGAAAGGGTAATTGAATCGGAAAACTCACAATTGTAACGTTCAGTACCACAACATCATCTTATGACTTCCACTACTTACCA